TGGGCGGGACCCGGAAAGAAATGTGTAAACGCCAGAAATCAAAGAAAATAAAAATAATAATCACATACATATAAAATAAACTGAAATGATAGCTAAGTATCTCGGCCTTGTTAGAGAACTGAGGAAATTGTGGAACATGAAAATTTACAGTCGTACCAATTGTCATGGGAGCACTAGGAATAGTTTCGAAGAGAGATAACTGGTAGAACTGAAAATTAGGGAAAGAGTTAGAGTTATTCCGATGACAACTCTATTAAAAATAATGACGATACTCTGTTTGGAATAACGAGAACACTTATTGTCACTTGTTCCCCCGTGTAAGACATTAGTTAGCACGGGTGTGAATACTCAAATGGAATAATAATAATAATAATAATAATAATAATAATAATAATAATAATAATGACAATCATAGTGGAATTGACAAAAATTTTAGAAAAATAAAATCTGCTGAGTCAGATTTTATTGGGTTAGATTCGTCAAAGTGTTGACGACGCAAATCTTTAGATAAGATGGCCGACAGCGTCGTCTGCCTTGAGACAAGTATTCGTTGAAAGTCGGCCTGTTTTTAGTTTTAGTTTGTGTTCACTCCATTTTCTGAAGGGAATTAATGAAGAAAGTGGATTTCGTTTATCTCCGAAGGAAACCATTTTTTTTTTCTTGATTTATTTTCATTTTATTTTTTATGGTTTAAACCTTTCTCTCTTTTTCTATCTCTCTCTCCCTTTTCTTCGTCTTTACCCTTCTCTCTCTTTTTATGCTTTTCTCTCTCTCTCACTTTCATTTTTGCTTTAATTCCCTAACCACTAGCAGATATCTCTTTTATCTACTATTTATATACAAATTCAACTGCCCCAGTCAATTTATATCTGGATCTGCTTCCAGTAATTATATAATACAGTTTCCAAGTCACAAGAGAGTTGAAAAATGTTGTATATTTTTTTTCAAAGACTGTCCCAAAAGACTAACTAAGGCAGTTCAAGTTTTGAGCCCCGAGACATGATTGATTGATTTGCCTGTTTAACGACATATCAGCACCATCATGGGTCATTTAATATCAAAATTTAATTTTCATAGGAACTTGGAAGTAATTGCTCTACTGTATGAAGGGCCGAGTGGTTAGGACGTTCACTTTTCAAGATCCCAGCATGTGGCACCTTTGAAAAGTGCCCCCAAACCATACCACTGGACGAAAAAATAATCCTCAAGTAACAATGCATGTAACTACTAACTTAATTTCATCCACCCTCTCCACAAAACCCCTACCGATATAGTGACAGATGCTGGTGTTTTTAGCAGGAAAGTTTGAATGTCTTGTTTGTTTAACGACATAACTCTTTATGGATCATTTAATGCTGAAATTTAATTTTCTTCGGAGCTTTGAAGTAATAAAAATATGATAATTGTTATTCTGCATTCACAGTTGAATACATGGTAGATTATACTCAGCATTTGTGTATATACATGTTTGTGTGGACATAATTACTAGAGGTGGTGATGTACGTGTTTTGTGTTGCATGATTATCTACAGATGAAGGTCTAATGAATGCTAATATTCAAATGAAGGTCTGACGAATGCTAATCTACAAATGAAGGTTTAATGAATACTAATCTACAGATGAAGGTCTAATGAATGCTAATCTACAAATGAAAGTCTGATGAATGCTAATCTATAAATGAAGGTTTGATCAATGCTAATCTATATATTTTAAACAATCTTCCCTGTTTTTGTTTTAATCTTTGCGAACGGACCAATTCTTTTTTAAGAATGGATTTTTCGTTTTTTTTCTTGTATATTACACATAATTCTGTATATAAATTGTCCCTTTGCTTATTGGGGAGGTGTATGGAGAAGTTAGATAAAATTAAGTTTCTGAGCACATGTATTGCTGAGGGTCCCTTCTAGATTAGCGTTAGTCAAGAAGGCGCAGAATGTTTAGAAAAATAATTTACAAAAGCAGCTACTGATGACCTTCTACCATTGCTCTTTTGTATGAAGGGCCGAGTGGTGAGGACGTTCACTTTTCAAGATCCCAGCGTGTGGCACCTTTGAAAAGTACCCGAAAACCATTCCACGGGACGAAAAAATAACCCTCAAGTAACAATGCATGTGACTACTAACTTAATTTCATCCACCCTCTCCACAAAACCCCGACCGATAAAGTGACAGATGCTGGTGTTTTTACCAGAAAAGTTTGAATGTTTTGTTTGTTTAAACAACATAACAACTGTTTATGGATCATTTAAGGCCGAAATTTAATTTTCTTCGGAGCTTTGAAGTAATAAAAATATGATATATGTTATTCTGCTTTCACAATTGGATACATGGTAGATAATACTCAGCTTTTCTGTATATAGATGTTTGCGTGAACATAATTATAGGCGGTGATAGGTGTGTTTTATGTTGTAGTTTTGTTAAAGTTATATTTTGGAATACATTTTGATTTAAGGAATTATAGGCGATATGAATTAATGTCTTGGAAGAGTTCTTTCATGTTGGTTGTTTGGTAGTATTTTAAACGGAATTGGGTGTAGTCGCTACATTTTGTTAGTATGTGTATATTGTTGGTAATTTTACTATAAATATGTATTGTTGTAATTTTTCTATATAAAAATTTATTGCTTGTATTTTACTATAAAAATGTATTTTTATACATTTACAGAGTTTTGTTTTGGGGATAACTATTCGTCGATAGCTGGGACCCTAACCGGTGCTACTACCTTGGGTTACGCTGGCTATGGGAATAATAATTAAGAGGTGGTGTCACTCTCATCATAACCTTCAATCTCCCGGATAGGGGCCTTGCTGCCGGACGTAGTTTATCGTCATACCCAGGACTACTCAACTAATTTGAACATGAAAGGAGACAGAGATCATCTCTTGCTAAGAAGGGCTTATAACGACTTTTTTTTTCTTTTTACAGTAAGGCACACCCTGTACAAGTCTTGGGTCTCACTCGAGATAGAGGGTTACGTTACGGAGTAGTTTATATAAAAATAGGATCGGGAATATAACGTTTAACTCTAGACTTAAACAGATTAATGTTTTAGTAATTGGGGAAACATCTCAGCAGTCTGTTTGCATGTCTTTTTATTATGATTTTGTAATTCAAATATTTTGGGGGAAGTGTTTATTAAGCAATTTGAAAAAATATTTCCCTATTTTATATTTGACCTCTAAATTAAAAAGGGGGGGTAAATAAAATGATATTTTTTCTTTTCGTCAAATTATTCTTCATTTGCTGTTTTATTTAAGGTTTATTTGTTTTGCCTACCGTAATGAGACTGACCACAAGTTTGACATATAAAAAAATGTTACTCTGGTCAAAGTAAATATCTAGAGAGTGCCATAATCGCAAAGTCATCTACAGTAAATTTGCGCCCCGGCTCTTACAACATTTCACCATTCCTGGCAAATCTAATATCTCAGTGAGGAATACATACTTACAAAATTGATAGAAAAAAAGAAAGAAAAAAAAGGCTCCAAATGAATTTTGTGTCAAGGCAATTTCGACCCTGCATAGATCAAGGACAATTTATGCAAAGAAAAAAAGGCAACGGATACTGGGGAAGAAGTTATCCCTGTGTATACACACACACACACACACACACACACACACATATATATATATATATATATATATATATATTCTGATCAAAAGAGAAAATAATTCACTACGGTGTAAATATCTAGAAAGTGCCTTAATCGCAAGGTCATCTCATTCTTCATTTGCTGTTTTATTTAAGATTTATTTGTTTTGCCTACCGTAACGAGACTGACCACAAGTTTGACATAAAAAAATGTTACTCTGATCAAAGGAGAAAATAAATGACTACGACGTAAATATCTAGAAAGTGCCTTAATCGCAAGGTCATCTACAGTAAATTTGCACCCTGGCTCTTGCAACATTTCACCATTCCTGGTAGATCTTCCAATAGCACAGTGTGGAATCAACAGTGACAACAATGGATTGCAAATATATTAAAGCAGAAAGTTAAGGTGCTTGTTCATCGCTGGAGAAAGTGCAGTAACAAATGGTGGTCCCTGTGTGAGAAAATAGTGTTTTGCAGCTGAAGTCTTGCTCTATCCTACGGCGTTATTGTGTAAATTACCCTTTTTGGGGTATTTCACGTCTACTTATCATCTCTCAGTCGCGTCTCTGTCTTGGGGGCAGAGTGCGATCAGTGGTTTCTCTGTTAAAGAACAGAGGGTCATCTGAGAAAATTGTACTGAGAGGTGCCCAGCCCTGGCGAACAGTTGACCGAAACCGCGCCCTACCATTGCACCAGAGGGAGGGATCGGGGCTCGCACCGAGGCCAGTGCAACCGAATTTTTGTCCCTTGCCTGGGTGCACGCGCTCGGGTCCTAGACCTTGTGTCACATCTCGTTCTGCTGGGAGAACGACTAAACACTGTATAAATTACTAAAAAATTATTTGTACGCATTATTTATCATCTCTCAGTTGCGTCTCTGTCTTAGGGCAGAGTGCGCTCAGGGGCTTCTCTGTCAAAGGACAGAGGGGCAACTGATGAAATAATACTGAAGAGGTGCCCGGCCCTGGGGAACAGCTGCCCGAGGCCGCGCCCTCTCATTGCACCAGAGGGGGGAATCGGTGCTCGCACCTAGGCCAGCGTAACGGGGGCTGAGGGGAATTTCTGATCCTGTCCCTGCCGTACGCGCTCGGGTTCCCACCTAAAAATAGACCTTGTGTTACATCTCGCCCTAGTCGGGGGACAGAGTAAATACTACGGTGTTATTGTGTTCCATGAAATTTTTGTAGTTCCTATAGAGGGAGTCATTACTAGAAGAGAAAATGATGTTAGCAATGGCGTTGAAGGTGTCGAAAAAGTGTGTGTTTTAGCTGAAAACGATGTGATTGTGCTCCCTGTATCTGTTGTAGGTTCTGTGGAAATGAGTAGGGACATTGCATTCTGTGCTTCCTTTGCATATATTAACTATTGCAACTGTTTAAAACATTTAGATAGATAGATAGATAGATCTACCGAACGACAGACAGGTAATTAGAAAGAGAGGGAGAGAGAGAGACTAACAGATAGATAGACAAATAGATAGATATGAACAGACTTAGATTTATATGAACAGACTGAGATAGATAGACAGATAGATAGATAGATAGATAGATAGACAGACAGACAGACTGTTCTACCGAACGACAGACAGATAATGAGAGAGAGAGAGAGAGAGAGAGAGAGAGAGACCGACAAATAGATAGATAGATATGAACAGACTTAGATCTATATGAACAGACTGAGATAGATAGATAGATCTACCGAACGACAGACAGGTAATTAGAAAAGAGAGAGAGAGAGAGAGAGAGACTGACAGATAGATAGACAAATAGATAGATATGAACAGACTTAGATTTATATGAACAGACTGAGATAGATAGATAGATAGATAGACAGACTGTTCTACCGAACGACAGACAGATAATTAGAGAGAGAGAGAGAGAGAGATCGACAAATAGATAGATAGATAGATATGAACAGACTTAGATCTATATGAACAGACTGAGATAGATAGATAGATAGATAGATAGATAGATAGATAGATAGATAGATAGATCTACCGAACGACAGACAGGTAATTAGAAAGAGAGAGAGAGAGACTGACAGATAGATAGAAAAATAGATAGATATGAACAGACTTAGATTTATATGAACAGACTGAGATAGATAGATAGATAGATAGATAGATAGACAGACTGTTCTACCGAACGACAGACATATGATTTGAGAGAGAGAGAGAGAGAGAGAGAGAGAGAGAGAGACCGACAAATAGATAGATAGATATGAACAGACTTAGATTTATATGAACAGACTGAGATAGATAGATAGATAGATTTATATGAACAGACTCACACACCACACACACACACACACACACACATATATATAGATATATAATGAACAGGCTAATAGATAGATAATGAACAAGCTGATAGATAGAGAGATAATTGAACAGGCTGATTTAGCTAGCTAGATAGATAGATATGAACATGTTTAGATAGATAGAATTTGAAAATCCTTTGGAATCACGTAATTCCTTAAAGACAACGGAATGTAACATAAGATGACAAATTCCAACATTCATACAAACTTTAAAATCCTTAATTCTGAATCCTAAACCACCCAGACGTTAGGTTTATATATTTTCAGAAGCAGTATGTAATTTTTACAAAATAATAGTTTAAGTTAATATTCGTTTTTAATTTTAGTACCCCAAGATCTTTCTCAAAATGTTTGTGTTCGTAACTATGATTAAAAAATAAACTATTGAAAAAATCAACAAATTGGATGAATAACTGATTGTTTGGTTTATAGCATGTAACTGCTGAGACAAAATTCTATTGATCAATATTCTTATACAATCTTTCAAAAATGAGGAATTTGTCCTTTTCTAGAAACTGTGTCAACTCATCATTTTGCACAGAATCAGAAGTTTTCTTTGTCGGTTTTAGTACGCCAAAATCTTTCTCAAAATGTTTGTCTTGGTAACTGTGATTAACAAAATAAGATTTGCGTATTTTGTCTTCCCCAAGACCAAAATGAGCGAGAACAATTAAAGGCAATGTCCCAAGAAACACAACTGACAAACCAAACACTTTTTTTGTGAAAGGCATTTTTCATCTGATTATGAAACAGTGGTTATTACAAGTAAAGTACGACCCAGAAATCCACCATCAATATTTGACGATTTGCCATAAGTGTATTACGTAGTCCTCAACCAAAATCGACAAACAAAACTAATCTGTGCAAAATGATGAGTTGACACAGTTTCTAGAAAAGGACAAATTCCTCATTTTTGAAAGATTGTATAAGAATATTGATCAATAGGATTTTGTTTCAGCAGTTACATGTTATAAACCAAACAATCAGCTATTCATCGTGTTTGTTGGTTTTTTTAATGGTTTAATTAAAATTTTCGAAAACTGGCATATATACAATTTTTTTTTTCAAAAAGTCAAATATCAGAACTGGTCACAAATTGTTGAATCAATTCGTTATCTTAGTAGCTTAAAAACTAATAATAATAAAAAGTTTTAAAAGATCATATTAATGTTGTGTCACCACAAATGATAGAGACAAAAGAATATGATTCTTATATTTTTAACAGGGCATTTGAATAATTTGTTACACCGCGGTTATTATATAACAGACTTCAGGATGATTTTAAGTTATCCAGTGTGAGAATATTACCAGCTTTGACATCAGAAGTTTCAAAATTAGATGACTTTAATTTTCTTGGTGATATTTTAGTGAAAACTCAGAAATTCAGAAAAAAAAGTGTATTATTTTAGTTGATGAAGTGTATACCAAGGTTGCTCTACAATTTCGTAGAGGGAAATTATTTAGTTTGGCTGAAAATTTTGAGCGATTAGCAAAAACGATGTTGGACGACATGGTAAAATATTTAAATGGAGGAGCAAACATTTTATTTAAAATGATTCCAGTTGCAAAATTAGAGGCAACATTTTTATATGAAAAAATATATATTGTTGATGCAATTAAAGAGTCAAATAATTGCAAATGTATTTGACAACAACAGGACCTATCACTCTTTTTTTTTCGAAAGATTTGACATTGTTTTTAATAAGCTTTGGATAACTAAAAATGGCGTGTACTTATTTTTTGATCATGACCGCCATTTTAAAAATTTTCGAAATAATTGGATTAGTGAACATACTTCTGAATTATTTTATTCTGCAGGTAAAAAGATGACAGCAAAATGAGAAATTGTAAAGGGTCTTTTAGAATATGAAAAGTTCAGTTTGTTCAGCTGTTGAAACTAACTGATGTAGCAGTTTACGCAGTCCGAATAATGTAAATAGTGTACATAATAGCTCATCTCAGAAATATAAACAGACATTGAAGGGCCGAAACGTTGTAATAAATATGGCGACAAAGATGAGGACAATAGTCCAAATGATGTAAAGAGTGTACATAATACCTCATCTCAGAAATATAGACAGATACTAAAAGACCGAAACGTTGTAATAAATATGGCGACAAAGATGAGGACAATAATCCGAATAATGTAAATAATGTACATAATACCTCATCTCAGAAATATAGACAGATACTAAAGGGTCGAAACGTTGTAATAAATATGGCGACAAAGATGAGGACAATAGTCTGAATAATGTAAATAGTGTAGATAATGCCTCATCTCAGATATATAGACAGATTCTAAAGCGCTGAAACGTTGTAATAAATATGGCGACAAAGATGAGGACAATAGTCCAAATAATGTAAAGAGTGTACATAATACCTCATCTCAGAAATATAGACAGATACTAAAGGACGGAAACGTTGTAATAAATATGGCGACAAATATGAGGACAATAATCCGAATAATGTAAATAGTGTACATAATACCTCATCTCAGAAATATAGACAGATACTAAAGGGCTGAAACGTTGTAATAAATATGGCGACAAAGATGAGGACAATAATCCGAATAATGTAAATAGTGTACATAATACCTCATCTCAGAAATATAGACAGATACTAAAGGGCTGAAACGTTGTAATAAATATGGCGACAAAGATGAGGACAATAATCCGAATAATGTAAATAGTGTACATAATACCTCATCTCAGAAATAGAGACAGAAATAAAGGACTGAAATACTAAAGGGATGAGGAAATGTTGTAAATAAATATCATCTCAGAAATATAAAGATGAAGGACAATATGGCGAATAATGTCGAATAATGTCAATAGTGTACATAATACCTCATCTCAGAAATATAAAGAGATACCTAAAACCTTTTGAGTGACAAAATGTTTCGCCATGGTTTGAAAGTGTCTGTGGTGAAACAGTAGATGCCATTAAAACACACCCATTATTAAATAGAAAGGATACAGTAGAAACAGTTATTTTTCATTGAAAACGTCATAAAATTTTGGAAAATTCTCTGTGTCAAAGAAATATATGGTGACACTAAGAAAAATGATCCACTGCAAAAAAGTGATATCAGATTTAGATTTTTTTTCTAAGTCTGGAAAATGAGAAAACGAATAAGCGGAAATTAAGGAAAAAGAATAAAAAATTTAACAAGATAGACTAGTTTAATAATTGAACATACTTGCAATGGCTTAATTGATGTTTATCGATATTTAATAAGTAGTGGCCTTAATTTTGTTATGTTTGATGAATTTACCATAGACTATTTAGAAAAAGAATTTGGAAAATTAAGACAAATTCCTGGAGTTTTTTTTTTTTTTCTTTTTTTTTTCTTTTTTTTACATTATTTACATTGCTAGGACAGTTGTCCTCGTCTTTATTGCTATATTCACGAGATTTCGGCCGTTGTACTCTCCGGCCTTCTTCAGGTGACTGGAATGTCGAACAGAACCCTTTATTTCGTCCACGGGGGGGGGGGCAGATTGTTCTAGTTCCACGTGCCATGCCGCTTCCGGATGTCTCAGTTATCTCCCTTTCACTCAACTCTTTATGTATTTGTTCACCACTGCAGTAGCCAGGTATTGAACTCACATCTCTTTGGGTCAAGTTGTCCTCATCTTTATTGCTATATTCACGACGTTTCGGCCGTTGTACTCTCCGGCCTTCTTCAGGTGATTGGAATTTCGAACAGAACCCTTTATTTCGTCCACAGGGGCATATTGTTCTAGTTCTACGTGCCACGCCTCTTCCGAATGCCTCGGTTATCTCCCTTTCACTCAACTCTCCAATTATTTGTTCACCACTGCAGTAGCCAGGAATTGAACTCTTTGGGTCAAGTCGTGAGATCCAACCAACGTTTTTATCCAGTTGACGATGCGTCCTTCAGAAATATACGCAGGTATTGAAAGTTTTGAAGGGTCATATTTTATAACAGTTCAAAATGTTATTGAAAAATTTAAATATTGAAAAATAAATAAATAAATAAAACTACTTCTTAAATTAAATGTTGAAGTCAAAGAATAAACCAATTTTGATCCAGGCCATGATTGCTCAAAATGAGAACATTCGCTGGATGAAATGAGATGCCAAACATTTGACAACTTACCAGACCTTGAAACTTGGATCCTCAAAGATTTTAAAATGTCACTTTTGTCTATAGCAGGCTATGTTACAAGAAAAAAAAAGTCCCACAGAAGAGGAACTCATACTTATTATAAAACCCAGGTTGGTGTGTGTGTGTGTGTGTGTGTGTGTGTGTGTGTGTGTGTGTGTGTGTGTGTGTCTATTCGTTTATATATTGGATCGGATTTCTTTCATTTTTCAACCGATTTCAACAAAACTTCACAGGACTACGTAAAATTACCTTGCGGTGGTTCTGACAGCGCCAAAAATTGGAAAAACACAATTGTTTTTGCACGAAATCAATTTGAAAACACGATTAAGAGGCATTAATGAAAGGTAGACAACTCATATCGAGTTATACTTATTGTTATCGAGTGATACTTATTATAAAACCCAGGTTGGTTGGTTGTTTGTTTGTTTGTGTGTGTGTGTGTGTTCGTTTATATATGGAATCGGATTTCCTACATTTTTCAACCGATTTCAACAAAACTTCACTTTTTTGGCAGGTAGTGTTTCTTATTGTCTTGCACACCTTTTTTCTTTATTTTCACATTCAGAATGCTTTAAAAATTCCATTTACAAGACAATTGTTTATAATAAAATTCTATTCAATCGGTAGACTCATAACGATTGAAAACAATGTTTTTATTTGAGTTTGGATTTGACCAATTCGTAAAAAAAAAAAAAATAATAATAATAATTAAGACATGCGTGTCCGTCAACCTTAAACAATAATCTTTGTCAATTTTATTTTTCAGTCTTTATGATGGTCGATACTTGATCTATCTCTTACTGTTACATCCTCGGGCAACGCCGGGCTCTACTGCTAGTATTTAATAATATTAGTTTTTATTTTCAAGAATATGAACATTTTTTAAACAAATAAATTGTGGTAATTTAAAAATTCCCCTGGATATCACATGGAGGCCAGGTATTTTTTTTTATTTTCCATTTTCTCTCTTTTTTTTTTTTGCATGCACTTAATTGGTTAACTTCCCAAATTATCTTGTTAATCAATTTTGTGTTCTTGTTAATGTAAATTGATTTTAATTTTTTAAACTATGTATACTGGAAGTATCTATTACTGTATCATAGCAAAATAAATATTTCCTTCATCTTCCGTGAAATAAATTGTACATGTAGCAAAAATCACAATACATTTTGTAAAGATTATCAAAATTATTGTTTCTCTGAAATTCACATCTTTTGTAAAGTTTTTTCAGACTTTGTTGATACACAATTTTATAAAATATTGAAATTGCTTTCTGATTGTATTACACTATTATATATTCTGTAAAAAAAAATAGCATAAAAATTAACTCATTATTTTTGCAATGTTATCTAAAAATTTCTAATTTAAGGCGAATTAAGTGATTTTTGTGCATTTAGTTATTTTATGGTATTTTTGTTCTTTCTTTGTACATTTGTATTTCTTGAAATAAGTCAATTGTATGATGCTTCATAATATTATATATAGTTGTTAATTAATTAATTACTGAACATTACTAACAAGATCAATGCTATATGAATTAAAATAGATAGATAGATAATGAACAGGCTGAGACAGACAGAGAGATAATGAACATGCTAAGCTAACTTGTTAGGTAATGAACAGGCCTAAGTTAGATAGATAGATAGATAGATAGATAGATAGATAGATAGATAGATACGAACTGATGTAGATATATAGATTTAAAGTAGACATTGCTTACATTAATGTAGAGCCTAGCTTAGTAATTGTTATTTAGTAGTAATTTAGGGTCTCCACATGCCCGCTCCCAGCCGCGGACGACAGTTGCATGTTTGACAGGCCTGGTATGAGGATCGGCTTAAGATAGATAGATAGATAGATAGATAGATAGATAGATAGATAGATAGATAGATAGATAGATATGAACAGACGACGTTACGGAGATAGATAGATAGATAGATAGATAGATAGATAGATAGATAATGAACAAGTCGAGACAGAGAGAGAGAGATAAGGAACAGGCTGAACGAGATAGCTAGATAATGAACAGGGCTAAGATAGATAGCTAGCTAACTAGATAGATAGATAGATAGATAGATAGATATGAACTGATGTAGATATATAGATTTAAAGTAGACATTGCTTACATTAATGTAGAGATAGATAGATAGATAGCTTAGTAATTGTTATTTAGTAGTAGATTTAGGTCTCCACATGCCCGCTCCCAGCCGCGGACGAAGACAGTTGCATGTTTGACAGGCCTGATAGATATAAGGATAGATAGATTAAGATAGATAGATAGATAGATAGATAGATAGATAGATAGATAGATAGATAGATAATGAACAAGTCGAGACAGAGAGAGAGAGATAAGGAACAGGCTGAACGAGATAGCTAGATAATGAACAGGGCTAAGATAGATAGATAGATAGATAGATAGATAGATAGATAGGAACTGATGTAGATATATAGATTTAAAGTAAACATTGCTTGCATTAATGTAGAGCCTAGATTAGTAATTGTTATTTAGTAGTAATTTAGGTCTCCACATGCCCGCTCCCAGCCGCGGACGACAGTTGCATGTTTGACAGGCCTGGTATGAGGATCGGCTTAAGATAGATAGATAGATAGATAGATAGATAGATAGATAGATAGATAGATAATGAGCAGGTCGAGACAGAGAGAGAGAGATAAGGAACAGGCTGAACGAGATAGATAATGAACAGGGCTTAGATAGATAGATAGATAGATAGATAGATAGATAGATAGATATGAACTGATGTAGATATATAGATTTAAAGTAGACATTGCTTACATTAATGTAGAGCCTAGCTTAGTAATTGTTATTTAGTAGTAATTTAGGTCTCCACATGCCCGCTCCCAGCCGCGGACGACAGTTGCATGTTTGACAGGCCTGGTATAAGGATCGGCTTAAGATAGATAGATAGATAGATAGATAGATAGATAGATAGATAGATAGATAATGAACAAGTCGAGACAGAGAGAGAGATAAGGAACAGGCAGAACGAGATAGCTAGATAATGAACAGGGCTAAAATAGATAGATAGATAGATAGATAGATAGATAGATAGATAGATAGGAACTGATGTAGATATATAGATTTAAAGTAAACATTGCTTGCATTAATGTAGAGCCTAGATTAGTAATTGTTATTTAGTAGTAATTTAGGTCTCCACATGCCCGCTCCCAGCCGCGGACGACAGTTGCATGTTTGACAGGCCTGGTATGAGGATCGGCTTAAGATAGATAGATAGATAGATAGATAGATAGATAGATAGATAGATAGATAATGAGCAGGTCGAGACAGAGAGAGAGAGATAAGGAACAGGCTGAACGAGATAGATAATGAACAGGGCTAAGATAGATAGATAGATAGATAGATAGATATGAATTGAAATAGATATGAACTGAGATAGATAGATAGATAGATAGATAGATAGATAGATAGATAGATAGATAGATAATGAACAGGTCGAGACAGAGAGAGAGATAAGGAACAGGCTGAACGAGATAGCTAGATAATGAACAGGGCTAAGATAGATAGATAGATAGATACGAACTGATGTAGATATATAGATTTAAAGTAAACATTGCTTACATTAATGTAGAGCCTAGCTCCTATTCCAGTCTTACTAATTTCTAATGTGTTCACGCGTACTAGAAAATTCTTTCTCCCAATTTCCTCATTTTTTCAAGCATTGAAATAAGGTGTTTTAGTGCAACGAGTATTTTAGTGAGTTTCCCCCGACACCCACCACCACAACGACTGCGAAATGCAAGAAAAAGGAAAAAGTTGGCCGAATGGCGAGCCTTTCCTTCGCCAAGATGTTTAGTTTGCCACCAAAACTGCTTGATTAGAAAGAGAAACACCAGAATTTGAAACTGGCAAAAGTTTATTTGTCTTAGGCTTCTTTTAAAAAAGGAAAACTTCTATTAGCATCAGGAGAACGAGTGAAAAACGGTCAATTATTACAAATTTTATCGGCCATTTTATCGGTAAATATTTTCTCTCATTACTGAAATTCTACCTCATTCTTTGCATGTCGATCTATTGCAGTCTTTTTCTTTCTTTCTTTCTTTCTTTCTTTCTTTCTTTCTCAGTCTTTGCATATCTTTCTTAAATAATGTATATCTATCTATCTATCTATCTATCTATCTATCCTTCTCGGTCTTTGCATATCTATCGCAGTCTTTGTCTTTAATAATTGTCGGACTTTGTCCATTTCATAATGTATATCTATCTATCTATCTATCTATCTATCTATCTATCTATCTATCTATCTATCTCAGTGGATTCATATCTATCTATCGATCTACGTATCTATCTATCTCAGTCATTGCATATCTATCTCCTTCTTTGCATAACTATCTAAGTCTATTCATATCTATCTATCTATCTATCTATCTATCTATCTATCTATCTATCTATCCCAGCCTATTCACTATCTATCTATCTATCTATCTATCTATCTATCTATCTATTAAGAAATTAATTCGTGGACCTGACAGAATTAAAACTAAAAATAATAATAATTATTTAACCAAACATGCTTGAATGATAAACAAATATATATATAATATATTTTTTATTTTTTTTTTATTGTTTATTCATATAAAAAAACTCTCCAAAACCATACTTTGTTCGAACCTCCTTAAACGGTGTCAATTTCGAGCACCAAGAAATTAACTGACTCAACGTTCTAAACTAAACAAATAAGAATTATTTAAATTTCAGATGAACACAGTAAATTTTATTCATTCGACAATATTAAACACTAGCAATATTTGTCTTCCACAATAAATTATACCTTGATGATGACATTGTCGACAATGTCGAAAGTACTGGGAATATAAAAGACATAGACATTGTGCTATGTCGAAAGTACTGAGAATATAAAAGAAATATGTATGAATACGGCGATTTTCTCTCATCCTTCAATAACGACACCAAGAAGCGTATCCGTGAATATGAAAGGATCCAATTGAAAATAAGTAGACAGAACATGTCTAAATTATTGAAAGAAACATGTCTTAATGCAAATATGCTACCAAAATATACGCAATATATATATATATATATATATATATATATATATATATATATATATATATATATATACTAGCAGTATGGCCCGGCGTTGCCCGTGCTTGATTCAAAAATCGTACGACTCATACAGCAATCGCTATCACTTGGCTTAAAATATTTTTGCCCTTCCTTGCTTTTTAAAGGAGTGCCCTTTGCCGTGCTGATGTTGCTACCTGCCTTACTTCTTGCCTATCTCACACTGCAAATTTTTCTAAGCTCTATACTAAACATTAAATCTGTTACGAAAAAAAGAACTAAACAAAATGAACACAAAACGATCAGCTTTAAAAAAAAAAAGGACTCGTAACTGGAAAAAGCGAATGAAAAAGAATGTTAACAACCAATACCTAACCCAGTTTTTCACACCCAACCCAGTTCTGCGGAATCAGAATCAACGTTGAGTTTAAGCAAGCGAATGAGCCAATTAGAGTAAAGTGCCATGCAGATTTAAATTTTTCCCACTTGTGACGAATGAAAATCGAGCTACTCGATTTTTGCATGCTTGCATGCTAAATGTTTAACATTCGTGTCAGTCAGCTGTTGGCACTCACGCTGGCCAATAGAATCTTCATTGCCTATTCGTGGCAGCCAGCTATAGGCATCTCACAGTCTGGCCAGTAGAAATTGGCCGTAAAAACTACATGAAAACTATCGTAGAAGCATGAAAAATCGATTATTTCCACTATCGATGGGAGTTGGGAAATGCAAAGTCGGTCTTGGCCTTTCTAATAACTTGGAGCATGTGCATGTAAATTTTGGTGAAAATCCGTCGAAAATTGCGGCCGTGCATTCGTTACACACACACACACATCCGAAAGAAGCCCAAGCCGGCATGACCTGATGTCATCGTCCCCATGAGAGCCTTTTGCCTTAAACTCTCCTACGCAATACCCTGTTGACGCCATTTCCTTCCGGTGCTGACGTCAATGCCTGCAGCCGCTACTTTTCGGTCCTTAGAGTCCCTATACTGTAGGAATTCTCTTGTTCGAGAGACTACGAATTCCTCTACCAACCCTTTACAGGGGAGTTGAAGTGCATTTGAGTTGCCATATAGTGTGGCACTACTTAGACTTCTCGGCAGCCCCAACCATCTGCGGAGGTAGTCCCTAATTCTCCTTTCCATGGATTCCGCTGATGTCATTGGGAAGTTGTAGATAAACAAAGGCCAGAGAATTGTTGGGAGCACATCGTGCTGATCAATCAACGCCTTGAAACGGTCCGAAAGCCCAAACTTATCCACCTTGGCAAGCCATAATTCAAGTTTGAAGATCGTCAATCGGATGGACGAAGTATCCTTTAAGTAGTTGTTAAAATTCTCTTTTGATCGTATCGAAAGACAAAAGGGATATAGCATTCACTACTTGTTTTCAGTGAAAAAAAGATAGATAGATAGATAGATAGATAGATAGATAGATGTGTTTAACGTCTCGTGCTTCTTGCTAGCTAGTAAGATTCTCATTCTGGTAATATCTATCTATCTATGTATCTATCTATCTATCTATCTATCTATCTATCTATATATATATATATATATCTGCTCTGATCTCTCTCTCTCTCTATCTATCTATCTATCTATCTATCTATCACAGTCTGTTCCTATCTATCTATCTATCTCAGTTTGCTCACTATCTATCTATCTATCTATCTATCTATCTATCTATCTATCCTGCCTTATATGACACCAGAACATTCAATGTCTATCTATCTCAGCCTGTTATCTATCTATCTATCTATCTATCTATCTATCTATCTATCTATCTATCTATCTATCTATCTATCTATCTCTCAGCCTGTTCATATATCTATCTATCTATTTATCTATCTATCTATCTCATTTTATTCAATATCTATCTATCTCAGCCTGTTCATATCTATCTATCTATCTATCTATCTATCTATCTATCTATCTATCTATCTATCTATCTCAGTCTCTTCATGTTAATTTCACACGATCGAGATCGTTAAAAAAAATCCCGATAAAAATGTAAGAAATGAAAACATTTAAGAAGGAGTTACAGATAAAGAAATGAAAAAAAAAAAGAAAGAAAGAAAGAAAGAAAAAGAAAATGAAATTTGAGGAAGAAAAGATGAAGAGAAAAACGACGTAAAAAAAAAAAGAGACGAATAAAAAGTCAGAATGAATGACAGAAAAAAAAAAGATGAAAAAACACTTTATTAAAGAAAAGCAAACTGGAATTTCGCCGAATGAAAAAGCGAAACAGACAGATTCAAAATGGCCGAATGTCTTCCTTTCATGTCATAATATCTGTCTTTCACGCTTTCTTTTTTATTTTTTAAACCTCCTCCTCTTCAGTTATCCTTCTTTTTTTTTTAAAGTATTTTTATTCTGCCACTTTTGAGGGGCTGTTATTATCGCTAATGCGTAGTTTTTCTTCGTTTCGAGCAGATTGAAAACCATTTTAAAAGAACTAGAAGTTGCCTTGTTGAAATCAATTTGCCGACATGAAGGCACATTTTCGGAACGAACTTTTTTCCCTCCCTTACACTGCGGGTGGCCAAAAAGGAAGTAGGCAGATGAAATTCCATACACCACGGCAATAATTAAAACACCAGCAAGTAAAGAAACAATAACAGTAACAATGGCAACAATAATTAAGAATGCTTGTCGAGGAAAACAAGGCTCCTTACATGTCATCTAGTGACAGGTCCGTGATGCTCATTACCAAAATTCATTCCTTCTCTTTCTTTAGCCACATAATTTTCTTTATTTTTTTCCACTTAAACGTGGTGATATACACGCTATCCTTACTCACCTGAGATGTTATTTGCAATATTTAGATGAGCCTTGGTGCACCATTACGAATAAAGGACACCTAATCAGAATCGAAATCACTGTAGTAATGGCCAACCAAACTAGCTCGTTAACCATTACATCACACTGAGGTACCCAAATAATAATTATTAATCTTACCTTAGTTTTGTTACAAAGCCACATCTATGAGGCACATAGTGAGGATCGAACTCACTATTCAGTAGTAACGGCCAACCAAACCAGCTCGTTTACCATTGCATCCCACTGAGCTACACAAATGATAATTATTAATCTTAGCTTAGTTTTCTTACAAGGCTACATGTATGAGGCACATAGTGAGGATCGAACTCAGTATTCACTAGTGATGGTCAAACAAACTAGCTCGTTAACCATTACATCAAACTGAGGTACCCAAACAATATTTATTAATCTTAGCTTAGTTCTGTTACAAGGGCACATGTATAAGGCACATAGTGAGGATCGAACTCAGTATTCAGTAGTGATGACCAACAAAACTAGCTCGTTAACCATTACATCACACTGAGGTACCCAAATGACATTTATTAATCTTAGTTTGGTTTTGTTACAAGGCCACATGTATGAGGCACATAGTGAGAATCGAACTCACTATTCAGTAGTGACTGCCAACCAAATTAGCTCGTTAACCATTACATCACACGAGGTACCCAAATAATATTTATTAATGTTAGTTTAGTTTTGTTACAAGGCCGCATGTATGAGGCACATAGTGAGAATCGAACTCACTATTCAGTAGTGACGGCCAACCAAACTAGCTCGTTAACCATTACATCACACGAGGTACCCAAATAATTTTTATCAATGTTAGTTTGGTTTTGTTACAAGGCCGCATGTATGAGGCACATAGTGAGGATCGAACTCACTATTCAGTAGTGACGGCTAACCAAACTAGCTCGTTAACCATTACATCACACGAGGTACCCAAAAATATTTATTAATCTTAGTTTGGTTTTGTTACAAGGCCGCATGTATGAGGCACATAGTGAGGATCGAAATCACTATTCAGTAGTGACGGCCAACCAAACTAGCTCGTTAACCATTACATCACACGAGGTACCCAAATAATATTTATTAATCTTAGTTTAGTTTTGTTACAAGGCCGCATGTATGAGGCACATAGTGAGGATCGAAATCACTATTCAGTAGTGACGGCCAACCAAACTAGCTCGTTAACCATTACATCACACGAGGTACCCAAATAATATTTATTAATCGTAGTTTAGTTTTGTTACAAGGCCGCATGTATGAGGCACATAGTGAGGATCGAAATCACTATTCAGTAGTGACGGCCAACCAAACTAGCTCGTTAACCATTACATCACACGAGGTACCCAAATAATATTTATTAATCTTAGTTTAGTTTTGTTACAAGGCCGCATGTATGAGGTACATAGTGAGGATCGAAATCACTATTCAGTAGTGACGGCCAACCAAACTAGCTCGTTAACCATTACATCACACGAGGTACCCAAATAATATTTATTAATCTTAGTTTAGTTTTGTTACAAGGCCGCATGTATGAGGCACATAGTGAGGATCGAAATCACTATTCAGTAGTGACGGCCAACCAAACTAGCTCGTTAACCATTACATCACACGAGGTACCCAAATAATTTTTATCAATGTTAGTTTGGTTTTGTTACAAGGCCGCATGTATGAGGCACATAGTGAGGATCGAACTCACTATTCAGTAGTGACGGCTAACCAAACTAGCTCGTTAACCATTACATCACACGAGGTACCCAAATAATATTTATTAATCTTAGTTTGGTTTTGTTACAAGGCCGCATGTATGAGGCACATAGTGAGGATCGAAATCACTATTCAGTAGTGACGGCCAACCAAACTAGCTCGTTAACCATTACATCACACGAGGTACCCAAATAATATTTATTAATCTTAGTTTAGTTTTGTTACAAGGCCGCATGTATGAGGCACATAGTGAGGATCGAAATCACTATTCAGTAGTGACGGCCAACCAAACTAGCTCGTTAACCATTACATCACACGAGGTACCCAAATAATATTTATTAATCTTAGTTTAGTTTTGTTACAAGGCCGCATGTATGAGGCACATAGTGAGGATCGAAATCACTATTCAGTAGTGACGGCCAACCAAACTAGCTCGTTAACCATTACATCACACGAGGTACCCAAATAATATTTATTAATCTTAGTTTAGTTTTGTTACATGGCCGCATGTATGAGGCACATAGTGAGGATCGAAATCACTATTCAGTAATAATAGATAACCAATCTACCTCGTTTACTATTGCATTACACTGAGGCACCCAAATATTATTCACTAAGCTTAGCATAGTTTTTTTTTCACAAGACCAATACCAGGCACATAGTGAGAATCGAACTCACTATTCGGTAAAAATGCTCAACTCATTTAGACCACCAACCTCTACATCAGGTCAAGGCGACTGAGAGATTTTAATTAGCGTATGACGAAAAATCTTTACGGGGTCCATTTCTTAATTCTGGAACCGTAACGCTCTGGATCCCACCCTAGACTGTTTAAGAGATGTGTGGCCTTGTATATAGTTGCACTGAGGAGCTGTGATAGAGCGAAACAGTACTGTCTGCGAATGACAGAATTATCTCTATCTATAAAAGGCAGGATATGTGTGTGTGTGTGTGTGTGTGTGTGTGTGTGTGTGTGTGTGTAACGAATGCACGGCCGCAATTTTTGACGGATTTTCACCAAAATTTACATGCACATCCTCCTAGTTAGCAGAAAGGCCATGACCGACTTTGCATTTCCCAACTCGCATCGATAGTGGAAATAATCGATTTTTTCATGCTTCTACGGCAATTTTCATGTAGCTTGCGGCCAATTTCTACTGGCCAGAGTGAGAACCTAGAGCCGACTGCCACGAATAGGCAGGAAGATTCTATTGGCCAGCGAGTGAGCCAACAGCTGACTGACACGAATGTTAACTAGCATGCAAGCATGCAAAAAAATCAATAGTGCATTCGTCACAAGTGGGAAATATTTAAATCTGCATGGCACTTTACTCCAATTGGCTCATTCGCTTGCTTAAACTCAACATTGATTCTGATTCCGTAGGACTGGGTTGGGTGAGAAAAAGTATTTGTTGTTAACATTCTTTTTTCATTCGGTTTTTCCAGTTACGAGTCGTTTTTTAAAGCTGATCGTTTTGTGTTCATTTTGTTTAGTTCTTTTTTCGTAATAGATTTAATGTTTAGTATAGAGCTTAGAAAAAATTTGCAGTGTGAGATAGGCAAGAAGTAAGGCAGGTAGCAACATCAGCACGGCAAAGGGCACTTCTTTAAAGGCAAGGAAGGGCAAAAATATTTTAAGTCAAGTGATAGCGATTGCTGTATGAGTCGTACGATTTTTGAATCAAGCACAGGCAACGCCGGGCCATGCTGCTAGTATATATATATATATATATATATATATATATAGAGAGAGAGAGAGGGTGAAAACAAATATTCCAACTAATGAATAAACATATAGTTTTCATCTAATTAACTCTACACAGACACATAATAGCTAAATATGCGTAAAGAAGAAAAAAAACTGATTTAATAGAAATAAATCCCATTTATCCATTTTAATGAGTGAAAAAAAGTATTTATACAATACAAAAAAGAATACTTCATTTAATACTTTGTAGAATAGCCATTATTCACTTCTACAGCAACCAACCTCTTCTTGTAGTTCTCAAGTAATGATTTGCAAATTTGTATTAGTATTTTTTTCCATTTCTTCTTCCCATATAGTCATCGGATCCAGGATGATTGTTGGAGTTCTCGATTACATTTGAATTTTCAAATAACACCACAGATTCTAAATTGACCTTAAATCTGGGGACTGACTTGGTCATTTCAGGATATTTATATTATTTTCAGCAAGTCATTTCTTCGTAGATTTTATAGTGTGCTTAGGATAATTATCGTGTTGGCAGATTCAGTCTGCAGGAAGGTCAAGATTTTCAACCGAAATCGTTAAATTTGCTTCCAAAATATTTTGATATGCTGCGGCATTCATTCTACCATCTATTACTGATATGTTGTCAGTATCTTTTGCAGAAAAACATCCCCAAACCATGATGCTGCAACCACCAAATTTCACTGTTGAAACTGTGTTCTTTTGTTTGAAGGCATCGCCATCTTTCTTCCATAGATGATTTCTAGAATTACATCCAAACAAATCAATTTTGGTTTTGCCTGTCCACAGTATTCTTTCCTAATACGATTTTTATCCTTATGTTCACGAACTTGGGGTAAAAACTACGGCGCCTTCCTTGATGAATTTCATCTTAACACCAAGAAACTGATTAGAGAACTGGAAGGGATCAGTATAAAAATAAGTAAACACAATATACCTATATTATTCAATGAATATATATATATATATATATATATATATATATATATACGCATTTCTTGCAAGTGAGGTAGGTTGTTAGTAACTCTGTAGGATGAAAAATAACACCTATCAAAGGGGGAGAACTATTGACCAGAAATAGAGGTGATGTCCCAATAAAATCACCGTGGAGAAGGCAACGGTAAATCACTCCACTATAAATCCCAAGTAAACTGGTGGCTTTTAACTCACTCAATACAACACTCAACTTTCATACATGCTAGAGGATTACATACAACGGGGCCCTCAAGCAGTCTGCCAACTACCGGATAATGACATGTTGCGTCTCGATTATCGTTCACGTCGAAAACTGGAAAAGTCCCGATTATTGTCCACATCTTTGTCACCATATTTTTTACAAAGTTTCGGCCCTTTAGTACCTGTCTATATTTCTGTGATGACGTATGATGTACACTATTTACATTATTCAGGCTATTGTCCTCATCTGTGTCGCCATATTTATTACAACGTTTCGGCCTTTCATTATCTGTCTATATTTCTGAGATGAGGTATTATGTACACTATTTACATTATTCGGACTATTGTCCTCATCTTTGTCGCCATATTTATTACAACGTTTCGGCCTTTCATTATCTGTCTATATTTCTGAGATGAGGTATTATGTACACTATTTACATTATTCGGACTATTGTCCTCATCTTTGTCGCCATATTTATTACAACGTTTCGGCCCTTTAGTATCTGTCTATATTTCTGAGATGACGTATTATGAACACTATTTACATTATTCGGACTATTGTCCTCATCTTTGTCGCCATATTTATTACAACGTTTCGGCCCTTTAGTATCTGTCTATATTTCTGAGATGACGTATTATGAACACTATTTACATTATTCGGATAATTGCCCTCATCTTTGTCTCCATATTTATTACCCTTATCTTTGTCTTTTAAATTTTAATATATGAGATCGCCCTACTGAACTCATCTTAAACTCAATTTGTGTATGTATCTGCAAATTAGAAGTCATTTAAGATCAAAGATTTCGTTAAGCTTTTGTTTACTATGAAAAGGCATTTCGGTCAGCATAACACTCATTATGTAAGCAAATTATTCAGGAAAACTAGTACAACATTATACAAGAGAACTGCAATGATTTGACAACACAGTAATATAGATAAGCTAGATTGGAGAAGGAGAAAGGCAAAAGGATACAATTTCGTCAAAAATAAAGCAGGACTCGAAAGTATCATCCGGAATATGAGAACGGAAGGGAGTTAACCATTTTAGTAATATCCTGAATCATTGGAAGAATGGCAAAAATGTCTAAATGACCTCAAGAGAGATAGTCTCATATTTTAAAATGAACTGAAATAAAATTATAGTTTGAAAATAAATTCGGATGTGTTTTTCACAGGATTTATTGATCCTTTACGGTGAGGCAACTCTGAGATAATTAGAAGCCCTACGAGGATTTATTAAAGCTGGCCACAATATTTAAAGATATAAGATATGGAGATGATCCAGTGTTAATAGGAGACACTAAAAGGAAACTATTGAGATAAAAAGATAGATATATAGATATAAAAAAGACTGAGATGGATAAATAGATAGATAGCCGTGAAATGACTGAGATAGTCATGAATAGACTGAAATAGATAGATAGATAGATAGATAGATAGATAGATAGATAGATAGATAGATAGATATGAAGAGACTGAGATAGATAGAAAGATATGAAGAGACCGAGATAGATAGATAGATAGATAGATAGATAGATAGATAGATATGAAAAGACTGAGATAGGTAGATAGCTGTGAAATGACTGAGATAGTCATGAATAGACTGAGATAGATAGATAGATAGATAGATAGATAGATAGATAGATAGATATGAATAGACTGCGATAGATAGGTAGATATGAAGAGACTGAGATAGATAGATAGATAGATAGATAGATAGATAGATATGAACAGACTGAGATAGATAGATAGATAGATAGATAGATAGATATGAACAGACTGAGATAGATAGATAGATAGATAGATAGATAGATAGATAGATAGATAGATAGATAGATATGAGCAGACTGAGATAGATAGATAGATAGATAGATAGATAGATAGATAGATAATGATCAGAATTAAATAGATAGATAGATAGATAGATAGATAATGATCAGAATTAAATAGATAGATAGATAGATAGATAGATAGATAGATAGATATGAACAGACTGAGACCGACTCTCCTATATGACAGTTAATGCTGGATAATCACATGATGACATTCATAAACTTAGTAAACTCTCACACACGCGCGCACACACACACACACACGCGTACGCACGTGCCGCTGCGCATACTGACACACGTATACTGACACACGCACATGCACACACGAACACATACAGACACACGCACCTGCGAGTGCGCATACTCACACACGTAGACGCATATACGCACACACACACACACACACACACACACGTGCGAGCGTGCACACTCACACACGCAGACGCATATACGCACACATATACTCACACGCTCACACGCGCACACGCTCACATGCACACACATACACGCACACACAATGAAAAAAGAAGAAAAAATCAACATTGCACCAATAAAAACGTGTAAAAAAATTTTTTTAACTGTGCGGACGTATGTTCAACAATGTGGCTGAGATTGCAAAGGGTTGCAAGGATATTGTTGTCTCTAAACCAGCTAAGTGATACAAGCGTGGAATTGAGCTGTTCGTACTACGATGGCATCAGACAATAAATACAATGGAATATATTTTGATGAATAAAAGGCTTTTCGTGCTTAATTTGTTTGAGCTATTAATTAAAGCTTGGAATACCGAAAAAAAATGACTCAACCTAGTATATATATATAGTGATAATCATACATTGAATGAATTAGCAATATTAATGCACTTAATGGCGAAATCTCTTCGCTAACAGACTTAATATAAGCATTAACCTACTAACAATCCACTGAATGATGCGATCCTTATGTAGAAAATTGTTGTCAGATGGATCTGGTGTATTTTTTAGAACAGCAAGTACTTTCAAAAACTTCATGTTTTCATCATCAGGCTGTAATCTTTTCCTTTAAAATCAAAACTCGAAGACGAAGTAAATGTGTTGTAAACAGAAAGATGTTTTTTTAAGAATGTGTTATTTATTAACGGTTATATAATATTGGAATGTGCAAGACGCAACGCTAAAGTTCAAATATTTCAAGTGAGAATTTTTTTTTTTATATGAATTTTGTAATTTGGTAATTTGTTAGTAGGTTAATGATTATATTAAGTCTGTTAGCGAAGAGATTTCGCCATTAATTGCAATAATATTGCTAATTAATTCAATGTATGATTATCTCTTTATAATATAAAATATATGCTGCCTATAATACGTTTATAAAAACAATTGATCCGCAGTACTAAATTCCGGATAAAAATAAACTACTAAGACATATCACTCTATTAATTGAACTATGTACTTAGTTTATGTCACGTTAACTGGAAAACAATTTGCACAAAAGAATTCGTGGATTTACCAAATCACAAAATTCATAAAAAAAAAAAAAAATTAGATCCCATTTAAATATTCATGGAGACCTACCGGACACTATTCGTAACATACTTGTTGACAACACTAATAGCATCATCTATATGCAAAAATAGGCTAAAAAATAATGGAATCCTTATTAGTAAAAACAACAAAAAAAAAACAACACTTAATAATATTAACCTTGAACATGGACAAAATATATTGACCGTGTTTTGAAAAAAATGAAAACATTTTATAAAACATGCATACAACAAACTATTTCTTATTTAACAGTTAAAATATTTAATCATTGAAAATGTCTAGATGTATAGCCGAAAGCGCTCGGATAAAAAGAACATTCGGACATTTATATATAAAGAAAGAACAGTAAGATATATAATCCGGTGTTCTTATAGATATTTTTATTTTTACAAAATAGTGCTCAATGTAAATTTACAGAGCATTAATATTATAAATTAATTGATTTAAAATATGGTTTTTTCGCTACCCAATTCTAAAGTTAAACTTGAAGTTACTCCAAAATTCGCTTGTGGATGAAATGGAACTAATGTCTTTAATTTAATTACAAAATTAAATTCGGGGCTTTTAGCTTCCATTTTTGAAACAGGGTTAGAACTGTGTAGCGAAAAAAAACATATTTTAAATCAATTAATTTATAATATATATATATATATATATATATATTGTGTGTATTTAGGCAGCATATTTTCATTTATACACATTTCATTAAATAATATAAACAAGTGTTGTCTATTTATTTTATGTAAAATTTGTTCGTAACATCTGATAAGTTTGATAACATTATCATTAAACGAAGAAAGAAATTCACAATATTGATCCATATTTTTTTAATATAATCTAAGCTTTCGGCTTACTTAAGCCATTATCAAAGATGTAAATCACAAACATATTAAACAATATACGGACACGACAGTGATGATAGTCTGTCATTGTTTACATAGTTGATCACTAAGCAACGATAAACACGCGCATATAAGACGCTAGAAGCGAAAATCGCATCGCATCTCATGACGTCACACATGACTACACGAGAGTGAATTGTAGAATGAAGTAAGGTAAGCCGTTGGTATAAACCAATGGCTTCTGTTACCAATTATAGACATTTAAGAATATTTGTAGAGATGCCATAATTGATTTTGTTTAGGTTGGGTTTTAACTGTTTGATGTATAATGCTTCAAGCATTTTTAGTTTTTGTCTATTGTTTTCATGTCGAAGTATAGTTGTGTTTTCGACAAGTATTTTACGGAATTGTGTGTGCGAAGGCATGTTGTTTTAAATGCCTAAAAATGTTAGTTTTCATATATATATGTATGTATGTATACTGATATCGATCTGGGTAAACTACAAGATAATTCTAAACTGAACCCTTTACTTAATGTATGGTTCTCGTTCCACTGCTCATGTCTACGGATATCTCGTCTAGTTCTTATATTTATTTAGTACTGCTTCGTTATTGATCGCCCGTTTCCACTGAGTGCAAGTACATAGTGCCCGATCCAGGGACTGAACTCTTTTTCTTTTTATGTGCCATGTCCTTTCAGGACGTAGGCGATCATGGCTTTTCCACCTCCATCTATCCCTTGCAGCTCTCAACAAGTTCTGCTTCCTCCCTGCAGACCACGTTCTGTCATCCACTCGATTGAGCCCGTCAGATATGCCATGCTTTTTTTCCCTTGTCTCTCTTTCTCTCTATTCGTGAGTATCAGATTCTCCAGGCCTTCCTTTCTTATTATGTGTCCCAGAAACTTCAGCTGCCTCTTCCTGATGTTAAGTATAAGCCTCCTCCTTGCTTGGAACCTCTCTAAGACCTCGTCGTTGCTCACACGTTCGGTCTATGATATCCTTAGCATCCTTCTGTAGAACCGCATCTCCGTTGTCGTCTCTTCTTCATCTTTGAGGAAATCGTCCAACATTCGATGTCGTAAAGAAGGACAGATGTCACGTAACAGCTCAGTATTCTTTTTTTGTTACCAAAGAAATCCTTCTGTCTTGTAATACTCTGCCCAGCTTTTGGAATGTGTCATTGGCCATCCCAATACGTCTACGGATCTCAGTATCGCATTTAGCGTCCTCTGTCAAGATGCTTTCCAGATATTTAAACTTCCGGGTCTGCTTGATTCTAGTGTTCCCGACCTGCAACTCGCATTTCGGGCTCTTCCTGTTACTCAATTCACTAGGCCTTTGTCCTATAGGACAATTTCCTGTAGGGCACAACGGCCGAAAAGACAACAAAGATGAAGTTAATAGTCTGAATATGAATAGTGTAAATTCTGTTTATTTAGGCAGACAATTTTCTTCAAAGGTAACTCCAATTGAAAACCAAAGAAATTATAAGCCGATTAATTATGATTGTCTTTTTTCAAATTATGAAGAATTCTTCTCAAATGAGGGGGAAATTCCATCAAAATTGTCCAAAGTTAATTTCAGAAGAATAAGTAAAAGTAATATGATCCAATGTTTCGACTTACTTAAGTCATCATCAGGATGAGTAGAGACAGCTTTGGGAGTAATGAAATCGAAACGATAGCCTGAAATCACTGTCCGTTAACGTTTCAGGATGTGCGGGTGGTGTAACACATAGCGGCTCAGAATGAAAAATCGAAGGGGCGAGTTCGAGCTGCAGTTCGTTACGATCACGATTACGACGGGAAAGGTATGAATCCATCTCCCCAACTATGGGATAAATAGTAAGAGTTCTATCTAACAAAAATCAATGTTATTCTTAAAAAATACGTTAATTTAATGTTCACTTGTAAAAAAAAAATATTCTTACAATCTAAAACATGTTTCGGCTTTAAATAAGCCATAAAGGGTTGATAAGCCGTAAAAAATAAATCAATTAAAACCGGGTGATTCACGAAGATTCTCCAAAAAGGAGTCTTTTTTAAAAAATTCCAATAAGATACACAAACTGGTATCAAATGCCTTACTACTCCTGTGATCCATTGTCGAAAACTTTGTCTGTCAAACCCTAAACAGAGTGAGTGCTTACGCCTCGTTGCGGGTCACGCCCTTCTTCTCGAATTTCAAGAACACTGTTACTCTTTGTTCAGGTACTGCTGTGTTTCACATGTGCATTCCTTACGCATTTCAAAGTGTTAACCTTTGAAGGCGCGATACAAATAATAATAATAATAATAATAATAATAATAACAGCATGAAAATTAGAAAGGTCAATGTCATTTTCGAGAAATAGACATCAGCTTTAACGCTCGGCAGGGTAGGTATAATGTTACTGTCTGTGTAACCAAGGATTCATCTACAAGATTAACAAATCCCTATTGCACCAAGGAGAGAGGGTCGAGATATTCTCTATAGTCTGCGATTACCCTGGTGCCACAAGTATTTTCAGAAAAAAACAAACAAAACTCGATATATACATTTTACTACCTCTGTTCCAAAATAGTTTTTACATTGGAATATATATTTCAAAATCTAAATGAACCATCCATTATGGAACAAATGTAGTACAATTTATATAATCTTAGCTCAGTCCCATAATACTTGATACATTGACATACATATTTCAAACGAAAAAATGTCCCAAACATTATGGGACAGAGGTAGTATTATTTATTTAATCATGCGTCTTCCCCATAACATATGTTCCATTTGAATACACATTTTATACGCCAAGTGTACCAACTCTTATGGGACACAAGTAGGACTATTTATATAATCTTACCCAGTCCCATAATACCTGATACACTGGCATACATTTTTCAAACGAAACAATGTCCCAAACATTATGGGACAGAAGTAGGTAGCATTATTTATTTAACCATTATTTATTTACTTATTTATACAGTATGCGATGGATAAATTGTCGTCTAAATTATGCAATAATGAAAATAACACTGGCATCTCATTTTTACAAATATATTTATCGAAATTGCACAAAAACATCTTGAAATATTAGAGAGTAAATTTATTCAATAAAATCGCCATTGGCTTCAACCCCGGCAGCCAGATAACTTCGGAACCTCCCGCATCTCTTCCGAACGGTCTCCTTGTTTAAGTTGGTCAATTCTGCCATTTCTCTCGCCTTCCGTTCATCTTTGATGTTAAAACGAGTTTTTTTTTTTTTTGGTGTCTCGGTCAACTGCGCCCCACACATAATAATCAAGGGGGTTGCAGTCTGGGAAGTTAGGCGGCCAGATGAAAGGGGTGATGTGGTTGCAGAAATTGCTTGACAGCCATAACTAGGTTTTCCTGCTTGTGTCTCATGGTGAAGTCTTGTTGCTTGACATAGGGTCATCCTCTTGACCCAAGGCAGCACTGCCTCTTCAAGACAGTTGATGTAGTCCACCGTGTTGAGTCTGAGGACTTCACCAACAAATTCGGGAGTTCTCTTCTTATCAGAAGGATCAGAGTGACTTTCCCGAGCTGCCGTACCTTCGTAATCACCATTAGACTCATCCAACTCTTTTCGAAACTTCTGCACTCTCCTCAGATTGACGCCCAAACACTCTGAAATATTCGTATAGGAGCTCCCGATTCGAATGTCAAGCAGTACAGCTTATCTTTTCCAAATTTCTGACTGTGTGAATTGTGCCATGGTACTTTTTTTCTCACAGACGGTGCCCAACTGACCCTACTATATTGTGCAGTCGACAAAATCAAAAACATATAACGCGCGTTCGAGAAATTAAAAATATAAAATGACGCCATTGATAAATCAGTCGCTTTTCTCTTGCCATGGCCATTACTCCAACAATTTTTTATTGTTTTAAAAAAGCTATTTTTAGAATTCTAATGAATTCACACATATGAAACTGGATTTATACATTTTAAAATAAATTATAAATTTTGAAAAATTACCAACGATTCAAATTTTTTCAAAGATTCAAAACAGGGCAAGAAATGGCTTGTTTATTTTAACGCGCCCAAAGTGAAACTGCTCTCTATGAATCGTCTTACACAACCGTTTTTTTTTTTTACTTCCATCAACATGAGTGATGCTAACTTCCAGGAGATTGTTTCGTTTAGCCTTCTCGGATTATCGTTTCCCGTTTGACCTGAAATTGAAAGACTATACTGAATCAATTGCTAGGTCCGCCGCTAGAAAATTTGGTTCGCTGTCTCGTACTAAACAAGGTTTCTGGCCAGAATCTATCTTACACATTTATAGGCTTACCACTTGTCCATGAATTGAACATTTCCATCACATCTGGTCTGGTGCTTCTGTTATGTATTTAGAGATTCTTGATAAAATCTAAAGAAGAATCTGCAATGTTATTGGTTCTGACCTGGCATCTCAGCTTCAGTGTTTTCCCCAACGCCGAAACGTAGCTTCACTATGACTTTTCTATAAATAATTTCATGGTAATTGTTCTGCCGAGTTTTCATCTTTGGTACTTAGACATTTTTTATTGAAGTGCAGTACTAGATTGGCAGCTCGGACTCATTATTTTATAGTTGAAATGGCTAACCTTAACTTCTAAGCTAACAATAAGGAGAAATAAAGAAATATTAATCTTATTAGGTAAAAGGTAAAGTAAGAAAGAAAAGGAAAAAGAAAGAGAGAAAGATTAATATTATATGAAAAAGGAAAAGAAAGAAAGAAAGAAAGAAAGAAAGAAAGAAAGAAAGAAAGAAAGAAAGAAAAAGAGAACCGCAAGTCATTAGGGAAAGGAAAAGAAAGAAGGAAAAATTAATCTTCTTAGGGAAGTCGGAGAAAGAAAGAAAGAAAGAAAGAAAGAAAGAAAGAAAGAAGAAAAAGAGAGGTGCAAGTCATTAGGGAAATGCGACGAAAGAAAGAAAGAAGAAAAGAAAGGAAGAAAGAAAGAAAGAAAGAAAGAAAGAAAGAAAGAAAGAAAGAAAGGAAGGAAGGAAGGAAGAAAGAAAGAAAGAAAGGGAGAAAGAAAGAAAGAAAGCAAGAAATTAAGAAAGAAAGAAGAAAAAGAGAAGTGCAAGTCATTAGAGAAATGCGACGAAAGAAAGAAAGAACTTAAAGAAAGAAAAAAATAAAGAAAGAAAGAAAGAAAGAAAGAAAGAAAGAAAGAAAGAAAGAAAGAAAGGAAGGAAGAAAGAAATAAAGAAAGAAAGAAAGAAAGAAAGAAGAAAAAGAGAGGTGCAAGTCATTAGGGAAATGCGACGAAAGAAAGAAAGAAAGAAAGAAAGAAAGAAAGAAAGAAAGAAATAAAGAAAGAAAGAAAGAAAGGCGCAAGTCTTTAGGGAAAGACAAAGAAAGAAAGAAAGAAAGAAAGAAAGAAAGAAAGAAAGAAAGAAAGAAAGAAAGGCGGAAGTCTTTAGGGAAAGACAAAGAAAGAAAGAAAGAAAGAAAGAAAGAAAGAAAGAAAGAAAGATTGAAGCGACGATAACCCTTGTCGAACTCTCTTCAGACTTCTTGTTTTCTAGTCAGCTTTGTTCCTTATGCATTTAAATGCAATGTCAAACTTTATTTTCTGTTTTCTTATTTCTCGTTCTTTTCTTGTTCTCTCTCCTTAATAATGATTTTCGCATAATTTTTCACACTTAGTAACGTCTTAGTTGCTTTATTGCCTTCCTTGTGGTTTTAAAGTTTAAAAAATCTAATTGGTAGAATTTTAGACCTTGGATTTCTATCGATTATGTAACTTAAATCCTAAATCACGATTATACAAAAAAAAAAATTCACAAAATAATTTTTATTTTATTTTATAAGGCGAGTACAATATGGGACTTGGAAAATATAATTGCGCATTTTACAATAAATATATAATAACTTGATGACACCCCCGATATTAAAACAAGAATTTATCTGAGCTGTAAAATAATCCAAGAAAATTTATAATATTCGAAAATTATTTTTCTAAATTTATAATTACAATCATTATATGTTTATTGAAATTTTCTTGCTCACAGATATTTTACAAATTTATTCAAAAAAGTTTTCATACTTTTTTCTTTATAATATGATAAATGATGACCATTGCATTGTAGTTTGTTTATAAAAAAAAGTTTAATAAATTAATTGTATTAAATATTATGTTGTAGAGTTACAGACGAGAAAGGAAACGTATATATCTAAGCAGAGGTACATGGGTTTTATTAACTTTCTAAAAATAGAATCTAGAAATTGTTGAAGGAGTATTCAGTAATAGCGATGTCAAGAGAAAAAAAAAAAACTCCTTTTGACAATTTTTTTTTGTTTTTTGATTTTTATTTTATTTATTTATTTATTTATTTTATTTTATTTCTATATATTTATTTATTTATTTTGCGGTTATATTCGTTAAAGTCTGTCGAGGGGAACAAATTAAAAGGTTCAAAACTGAAAAGGATTTCCATTTCGCTGAAGAAGACGTTAAACGCAGGGGAGCGTTATCGCCGCTTCAATCTTTCTTCATTTCTTTCTTCATTTCTTTCTTCTTTTCTTTCTTTTCTTTTTTCTTTCTTTCTTTCTTTCATCACCTTTCCCTAATGCCTTGCAATTCTCTTTTTCTTCTTTCTTTTTTTCCTTTTCCTAATAATATTAATCTTTCTCTCTTTCCGTCCTGGGCAAGACGATAAACTACGTCCAACAGCAAGGCCTCTGATCAGGAGGTTTTGAGGAGCGTGGAACCACCTCTTAATTGCTGGTGTTCCCAGGTCCACCCTGACCTGGGGTGGTAGCACCTGTTAGGGTCCCAGCAATGGGCCAATAGTTGACACCCAAACTTGTGTAAAAATAGGTTTTAATACCAGAAATAATTTGTAATAAAAAATATTACCAGCAATAATTTTTGAAGGAAAAATTATTATCGATACTTTAAAAAAATACCAGCAATACAAACAGCTATACATTCTTTGGAAAAAATATGACCAGATATAGATTTCTTCAAGGAAAAATATTCCCAGAAACAGATTTTTGAAGAAAAACATATTACCAGCAATAAAAATTTTGTGGGCATTAAATAACCCATTGAGGTCGATATGACGTAAAAAAAGACAAAAACAAAACTATCTTTTTTTCCTTTTTTTTCTACTTCACCTTTCCCTAATAAGATTAATATTTCTTTCTCACTTCCCTTCTCTCTCATTGTCTATACTTTTTTCTCACTAAAACCAAACAGCGTCTCCAATATATCTCATTCTTCCATCTCAACTCGCAGCCAAAACAAAATGG